TATTTTCGAATTGGTTCCGCATACTGTTCGTGCTATAAGTTTTCTGTGACCAAGAGAAGAGTAACATTCTCTAACACTGAACGATTGAAAATCTAAACAAGTATCAGCAAGTCAAGCACGAATAACAACCATCTTAAATATTGCCCCGTGTTGAACAGCTACAGATCGCGCTAGAAATATAGTTCACTGTGAAAAACTGAAGCTCTTCAACCAGGTGAAGTGATACTGGAACGTAAAATACATCTTTTACATCTGTTAAATAGCGGTCAGTTCAAACAGGGCAAATTACATAAACACATTTTTGACCGGTAATACCATCAGGTCCGCGGTTGAGCCGGGGTCCGTCGCCCGGGACGCAGAGATGAAAAATAAATGTAGTTAAATATTCTTTTCTTGCTGATAGATTTCTTTTTACTCCTGTGGCAGCGGAGACTTCAGGGGTTATTGGCCCTCGTTCAATGGCGTTCTTTCGGAGGATTGGCGCGATAGCGTCTCGATTAAGGGACGAGTCCCACGAACCGGAGTGGCTCTTGCAGCGTGTCTCACTGGCTCATGGTGCGAAGTAATGCTTTCTCTATCATTGCAGTTGGCAGAGGATAGCAAAATAAATAAATAAATAGCATTTTGTTTATAGTTACTTTTTTCAAACTTGTTCAAGAAATAATTGTTATTGTCCGGTCAAAAAAAACCCCAAAAATCTAATAGATATTACACACTATCAGCGTTACACGTCTAAAATATACAAAATAGCGGATCAGATTCATTCACACTGTTTGTTTTTGTTTGTTTGTTTTTAATCATTTTTATTTAATCATTAGTTGTGACTAACGAAGTGACACAATCGGACCGCTTCACTACCAAGCAATGATCGTAGTCGGCAAGCATCAATTTTAGATACACATGATGCCGTGTCAATGTCACATATCTACCAATCAACCAACGTATTTATCCTTTGATGTGCTTTTTTCTACACGTAACTTCGTGCGTCCATCTGTTGACGCCAGAGACAGAAAAAATTTTTATTACAAACAGTCACACTTCTTGCGAGACGAAAATGGACACTAAATGGAAATTCTTCAACGATTTTTTAAAATTCGTACATTTTGAACAAACAACATACTCTTGAATGCATCGAATCAGTTCAAATTATTTTAAGCAGGCACATCGATGAATATTCCATTTGACAAATAAGAAAAAAAAATCACAGACGAACATAAAATGAATCGCATTTGGAAGGATTTGTTTGGGTCTTGTTCTTCTGTCATGCGACTGGCCAACGCCGACAACAGAATAACAAATGTCGACCTCTGCAAATGGCTGAATTAAGTAAACTGCCAAGAGTAAAAATAAAAAATAAAACATCTTGGAAATGAATCAACGTTTATTTTCTACGGTTTATAATCGTTTTCGTCATTTTTACATCATTTTGTCCTTTATAATTATTTTGATTTGTTTTTAACTTTCGTATTTTAGCATATTTTCGATGAATTTCTTCCTATATTTTCTGGGTTATTACGTTAATCTGAAAATCGAAAATCATTCATATAATTTTGCCGACATTTTTCTTCCTTGCTTTAATGATTTTCAGTTTATAATTGTTCACATATAATTCAGTTGATTATGGCAACACATTAAACTGTTCCCTTCCAGGATGTAATTATTTTAATGACGCCATTGTCCTTTACAAACAATAGCTGCAAACCAACACCAAGACAATAGATTGAATAAATCTAACTATAATTCATGCAATTCTCTGAGTGGTGATAGTTAATGGGATAGTTTAGCTGAACGTTGCTAAGAAGTAATAAGTTCGATCCTTAATAGGTATCTCATTATTGAGGCTTTGCACGCAAAATTATCTAAGCTTAGTATATTAGGAGGATTTCTCCGTGATTTAATGATTAAAAAAACAGTTTCCAAGACAATGTGACTTGCTGACTCAGTGTTCCATATCTGCTGCAGACTGCCATAATGAAGCTAGGTTTTAAGGGTGCGTCGACAATCAATAATGGTTAGGAAACCAAACTCAATGAGAAATGTCCTCCTTTATAAAACCGCTTTGTGTGATCAATCAAAAAATTTTCTGCGAGTAAATGAAGCCTGTAGATCATTGCGACTGTCATCCTTCTGCTAATCTCGCCATAGAAGGACAACGAAAGAATTACGCCAAACGAGAGAAACCACATCAAACGGTGACTTTCAACAACAATAAAAACAGAAATTGGACCGTACAAGTATTTCGAAGATAAATTAAAGAGGTAATAAAGATGTTGACACTCCACACTACTTCAAATAAAAGGTTGGGAAGGAAACTCCCATCAATACTGGAAAGAGTGATAACAGCTACAGGACTTGAGAAGTGAAAATAATGACATAATCAAGATGCTGACATTCCACACTACTTCAAATAAAAGGTTAGGAAGGAAACTCCCATCAATACTGGAAATAGTGATAAAAACTACTGGACTTGAGAAGAGAAAATAATGACATAATCAAGATGTTGACATTCCACAATACTTCAAACAAAAGGTTAAGAAGGAAACTCCTATCAATACTAGAAAGATCGATAACAGCAACTGTATTTAAGAAAACTATTGTTCCTGAAAAATTGTTTTAATAAAACAATTTTCTAAAATTCAACCATTTTATAAAATTCAACTGCTCAGTCATTGAGGGCGGAATGATTCCTTATAAGGAAACATAAGGAAACTGCTAATTGTACCATTACTAATAAATAGTGTGTTGGTTCCTCATTTGGTTCTCAGAAAATTAAACAACCCAACAAATGGGCATGGGATAATGTTTAGCAAATGTAGACGGTTTGACCATTATTACTGAGTAGTGAGCTCCATCGTTACTGGGTATCCAATTCTTGTGACCTAGTGCCAAGTCGACATCAAATGTAGTAAATAACACGGCGGTAAAGCTTAGTATTTAAACGACGCATCAGTGTGAGCTTATGGTTATTGAACTTATTTTCATTAATCATTTCATACTAAACAAGGCAATAAAGCCACTAAGACGCAAGAATTTAATGAAACAGGAGTGAAAAGAGAATGAAAACACTCACTAGAGGTTAATGGAAATATCAACATTCAGTAAAACAGAAGGTGGCGATTGACGTTACATTTGAATCGTTGAAGATCGAAGTTGACAAGAAAGCCAGATGTTGGAAGAGACCTCGAGAGGTGAGAAATACAAGAGAATAAAATATTAGAATAGAACCTAAGGTTACATCTAGTTAGTTCAACAGTAAAACTGTGAGACCTAACTACCAATCTAGTACTACGCTTAAACACATGCAGTCAAGGTACCAAGGAAGAAAGCTTGTCAAAACAATGCGAATGTGTCATTAAGACGGATTATATATAAGGGTGTTTCATTAAGACGGATCAAAGTCCGCAGTAAATAAATCAGTGTTATTGTGAAAAATTATTTATTTCTCTATTGGATCATGTTATTTAAGTCATGGCAATTGTGTGTGAAAAATAATATCGCCCAAATGTCCGCCAAGTCTGCAAGAAAAGAAAGAAATCATTAAACATTTAAACTTAATTCACATGAAAATCGGTCCATGTTATTGGAACACACGTCATGTCGGTGAGAAAATAACTCAAGTCGAGATGCCAGGTCAGGACTGATTATGTTACAGATCCTTCTTTGGATTTCGTTAAGAATCTTGAGATATATAGCAGGAACACAAGGCCAAATATGGCAGTAATATTCAATGCACGAATATATATATATATATATATATAGTAACTGATGTGATCTCATGTACCAGGAAAAATATTTTTTCATGGAACCTTAATGTTGTCTCTTTCTTAATTAATATTTATGTTACATTGAGCTCTCTGGATTACATCCTCTTTGAAATTATCCACAGGGATTACCAAACCCTTCATTACCTTACTATACATATTAAGAAATGGACAAAAGTCCGACAATTTATTAAAAGACATTTTATGTTTAACATTCTTTTATAGATACAAGTATTTAAGTAAATGCTCTGTTTTAATAAAAGTGTAAATAAATTTACCGGCCTGAATGTCCGAGAAATTTTTAAATATTCGTCCTTTTGACAGGATTTGCACATACGGAACCGTCATTTACGCTGATGTGCCTTAACCGACTCGGCCACAAAGGAATGTCAAGGTCGAATTTAGCTTATAGATCAATCTTCCATGAATCTTGTACATTCATAACTGCTCGGCGTATCAAATGTAAACAATGACGTCATACATTAAGAAATGGCAAAGTCCGGTAGTTTTATTTGTTTATATTAAATATTTAGCATTTATTGGCCTGTCTGAATGTCAAAAAGAATATCTAGAAAGGCCGGTAAATGTTATTTAATATATATATATGTTAAATATAAAATATATATATATATATATATATATATATATATGTATATATATATGTGTGTGTGTGTGTGTGTGTGTGTGTGTGTGTGTGTGTGTGTGGAGTGAATATTGAAGTCAACACTTAGAGGCGACAGACTGTTTTGGTCCTAGACGCAATCGTCTCTGAGTGTTGAATTAAATGTTCACTTTTATATTTACATAATCTCTATCTCTGATATTGAGCACTTTATCCCATAAATTTAGCAAACCTTTAAACTATATTTCTTCATATATATGAGATAAAGACAGGAGGAGGTGAATGAGGTAATGAAGGATTCAAGATAGGGAGTGGGGGATTTATATATGAAAATGGAACCATCTCTAGATATGTAATGAATCGAATGACAAAGATAATACATATAATGTGCAAGGCCTTATCGTTCTTCTTTGCCTGAATGCATGTCGAGATTCGATCAAATTACGCCAACTTTGTCTTATTTACGGAGCGAAGCAGTGAATGTCGTTTCTGCGTTTTGCAGAATAGCAAATCAATGTTTGTTTTTGTATTTTGCCCTGACTTCTCTCTGGTAATTTGTTATTCAGAAAGATTTCTTCTGTCGAGCCGATTCAAGATTTGCTTTCTTCCACATTCACCTCGCGCATTTGTTTACGTTTCTTCTTGACAAGATGACACGGAGACAACGTTAGCCTGCATAATCTGAGACGATCTTCTAAAGTCAAGGCAATAGAATCAGCCGCAAATGACAGTGCGCTGGTAAACGGGAAAGAAAGAAAGAAAGAAAGAAAGAAAGAAAGAAAGAAAACAAGCAAGCTTAAAGACTGAAAAAAAAATAATGGAAAAAGGTTTCCAGAATTAGTCATGAAGAATAGTAAGAACGAAAGCTTAATGACTAAAAAAAAAAAACTGAAAAAGGTGTGCAGAATTGGTCATGAAGAAATAGTAAGAAAGAAAGAACGAAAACTTCAAGACTGAAAAAAAAATGGAAAAGGTCTCCAGAATTGGTCATGAAGAAATAGAAAGAGAGAAGAAAGAAAGAGGAATGGAATTGTGAGAAGACTAGGTGAGAAATATGATTACAAACAGACAATCAACGAAATACTGTAAGAAAGAAAGAAAATTAATGGAAAAGGGATAGAGATTTGTTCATGAAGACACAGTGAGAAAGAAAGAAAAAACAATCTAAGTGGCTGGTGAAAAGAAGGAAAAAGTATGACAGGAATAAAGAAATTTGAACAGCTGGTTAAAATAAATAAATTATGAGAAGAGACTAATTGAGGAAAGAGTAGGCGAGAAATATAATTGGAAAAAAGGAAAAAGAAAGAAAAATAATGGAAAAAAATAGTGAATTGGTCATGAAGAAATAACGTGAAAGAAAGAAACATATAAATAACGAAAGAAATCAAAATAACTAGTGAATAAAAGAAATAAAGAAAGAGGAAGGAAATCGTGAGGGAAGAAGAAGTGATAAATATAATTAAAAAGAATGAAAATAGGTATGTAGCAATAAATGAGAAAAGAAAAAAAGAAAGAAATCTGAATAATGGATAAAAACATACAAAGAAATAAATTAGATAGGAGAAGAAGATTCAGCAGCGAAAGATAGGTGAAAATTAATATATAATTACAAAATACAGAAAATAGAAAGAAAAAAAACAACGATATAAGCAAAAAAAAAAAAAAACAATACTGAAAATTCAGAGGGAAGAAAAAGAGAAAATAAAGAGAAAAATAGGAAGAAAAATTTTAATAATTATTAAAAAGATAAACCCAAAAACAAAGAAATTATAAATAATTAAGAATAATTAAATAATTATGAAAAATTAAAAAAAAAAAACGACAGAGAATATACTTAAAAAGAAAGAAAAAAAAACGGACGAAAAATGATAGAGAGAAAGAAAGATATCTGCAGCTTATGACCCCTCTTTATTTATACTGACTCACCAGCGGCTGATGTTGACTGTAGGATAAAAAAAAAGGGTGAATTTTTCCTTCAATAACCATTTTGCTTAACTTGTTACAAATAATATTCTGGCAAAATGTCACCTGTCATGAAACTACGCAGAAAGGAAAGATGAATCCTTCAATTCTTTCCTGAAGGAAATAATTACGATTATTCAGGCATAGTTATAAAAAAAAAAGATAAAAGAAAGAAAGAGGAACTGAGAAAAGGCATGATCAGGGGAAAGCATTGTAAGAAAAGACTGAAATAAATGACATTCAACTGAATTGGAAAAAGGAATAAAAAAGAAAGAAAGAAAGAAAGAAAGAGTCTAATGAAAGTTATAGAGAAAAACTTGAACGGATGTTATAAGAAAGAAAGAAAGAAAGAAAGAAAGAAAGAAAGAAAGAAAGAAAGAAAGAAAGAAAAGAGATTGAATAAACTGACAAAATCGTCAGAAAGAAAGAAAGAAAGAAAGAAAGAAAGAAAGAAAGAAAGAAAGAAAGAAAGGAGATTGAATAAACTGACAAAATCGTCAGAAAGAAAGAAAGAAAGAAAGAAAGAAAGAAAGAAAGGAGATTGAATAAACTGACAAAATCGTAAGAAAGAAAGAAAGAAAGAAAGAAAGAAAGAAAGAAAGAAAGAAAGAAAGAAAGAAAGGAGATTGAATAAACTGACAAAATCGTCAGAAAGAAAGAAAGAAAGAAAGAAAGAAAGAAAGAAAGGAGATTGAATAAACTGACAAAATCGTCAGAAAGAAAGAAAGAAAGAAAAAGAAAGAAAAGAAAGGAGATTGAATAAACTGACAAAATCGTCAGAAAGAAAGAAAAAAGAAAGAAAGAAAGAAATAAAGAAAGAAAGAAAGAAAGAAAGAAAGAAAGGAGATTGAATAAACTGACAAAATCGTCAGAAAGAAAGAAAGAAAGAAAGAAAGAAAGAAAGAAAGAAAGGAGATTGAATAAACTGACAAAATCGTCAGAAAGAAAGAAAGAAAGAAAGAAAGAAAGAAAGAAAGAAAGAAAGTAAAGAGATATAATAAAATAAAAAGAAAAAAATACAGAAAGAGTTAAAATAAAATGACAAAATAGACAGAAAGAAAGAAGAGATATCATTAAATGAAAAAAATAGACAGAGAAAAGAAAGAAAATGGTAAAACTATACGAAAAATAAAGGAAAACGCAAAAGTAAAACAAAACAAAGAACGAAAAGATTTTAAAGGAAAAAAATGAAAAGAATAAAAGGAAATTAGAAATGAATACAAATCGAAAGAAAAAAAAGGAAAAGAACAATAAACATTAGGGACGAATATGGCCGTTATTAAAATAACTCCGGATAAAGTATTACAGCCAAAGCTTCTTTAACATATTCCGCTTTAAACAATAAAACAAATAAAAAACATTTACATTATATACGCATGAAAAAAAATCCATATACAAAACAAACGAGGTCATTCCTTATGGTTAACACGGCTTCTGGATACACGCCATATTGCTTCTCCCATGTGGTGCCAGTATGAAAAGCGGGTTCGTTTATCCACATCTAGAAAAATCAACATAGTGATGAGAATGTATAAAGCATGTAGGCGTCAGTTAAAGGCTAGCCATCTTTAGGGATTGTCATTTTGCCTTGTTCATAAATATGGTAAATCAGAGATTTGGAAATAGAAGAGGTTTGAAAATACTATGCTTTGAAAAAAAGCACCTTTCTGTTTTTTAGTTAATATATTTTGAATGGTTGGATCGATGAAACTACATGTTGCTTAACAGCAGGACGACATCCAGTGAGAAGAACGGATTAAATATTAATTGCATGAAGACAGCCCGCAATGAAAATGACAAATAGGATATATCAAAATCGAACAAGTACAAAAATTTAAATATTAATTGCATGAAGACAGCCCACTATGAAAATGACAAATAGGATATATCAAAATCGAACGTATAAAAAAATTCAAATATTAATTGCATGAAAACAGCCTACAATGAAAATGACAAATAGGTTATATCAAAATCGAACGAGTACAAAAATTTAAATATTAATTGCATGAAGACAGCCCACTATGAAAATGACAAATAGGATATATCAAAATCGAACATATAAAAAAATTCAAATATTAATTGCATGAAAACAGCCTACAATGAAAATGACAAATAGGTTATATCAAAATCGAACGAGTACAAAAATTTAAATATTAATTACATGAAGACAGACAACAATGAAAATGAGAAATAGGATATATCAAATTAAACAAGTACAAAATTTTAAATATTAATTCCATGAAGACAGCCCACAATGAAAATGACAAATAGGATATATCAAAATCGAACTAATTCAAAAATCTAAATACTAATTGCATGAAGACAGCCAACAATGAAAATGACAAATAGGATATAACAAAATCGAACAAGTATAAAAATTTAAATATTAATTGCATGAAGACTGCCCACTATGAAAAAGAAAATGTGTCATCCTTGAGGACACATGGCACAGTGGATAAAGGCGTTGTTTAGATCCAGTGACAAGACCCAAAGAGTGTGAGTTCAATACCCGGTTAAGGCAGTGGAGAACTTTCAGAGGGAAAATTAACAGGAGGTAACTGATAGCTGACATCAATCAAACATGGCACGCGGAACTAGAATAGTCTACCCCAGTGAGCGAAATAAAGGGTTCAGGTCGATATTCTAACCACCTGAAGAAGGTCGGGGCGTACAAAGGCCGAAACGTTGTGATAAATATGGCGACAAAGATGAGAACAATAGTCCGAATAATGTACATAATACCTCATCTCATAAATATAGACAGACGTATGATTATCGATACGTATTTTTAACTTTAACATTTTTTTACTTTATTTTTACTAAAAATATTATTTTATTTTCAGATTATAATCTGAAAATAAAATAATATTTTTTATTAAAAAAAGTAAACAAAACAGCAATTTTTATTATAAAATAACGCGCCTACAAAAACACCTGATAATTATGCACCAACTTAGTATATAAATGAAGTAAGATATGTCCAACACTGAATGCTTATTTTTATTTTTTTAAGGTTTTAATATATTTTTGATAGGCTTTTCAACTGCGAAGTTAGCACCTGCTTTGCTTCGCATTGCCTTCCAATAAATAAATATGCCAACTCCTATTATATTCTAAGGGTTTTGGAATTGCCTTTGCTTACGGCAGCATCTCCTAACGAAACCACACGTTCCAGGTTACACATATGAGACTTCCCTTTATTCTCTTCGATGTCGAATTGGCCCTAAGGTAGTTCTGCTTTCGTGACAATAACTCACGTTCAGAAGATCATAATAAAATCGTCTTGTTCCAAAGTGACAGAATTCGCAAGAGAACGACATAGCATCAAAAACTTTAGCCATACTTCTCAATTCAGATTTCCGTCCCCACGATCTATCACTATTTCGATCGATGTTTTGGATATGAAAGGCTTAATGTATTATGCATTAGTGACGCCTGGTGGCATTGTTAATGCAGAAAAAATGCAGCCGCCGCTTTCGATATCGGATGACTGTGAATAAAGAAAGGGGGAAAAAAAAAAAAAGATGGCCGTTTACAGGAGAAGAAATTCAAAATGTCATCTCATCCTGTTGCATGACATGTTCACACGGTTCTTTGTCGACGCCTCTCCACCAATAAAAAAATGAATACCAGTTGAATCGGTGGGGACATCTTATTCAGGCTGCATATTCGCCAGACACCGCGCCACTGGATTTTTTTTCCGTTCATAATCCTTGCCTTCAGTTAATCTTTGGTGTTATAAGGAATTTTGTTGGTCTCTGGCTCAACTGCGTCTCACCCATAATAAGCAAGGATGTTGCAGTCTGAAGTGTTAGGTAGCCAGATATAAGGGGTGTTGTGGCCACAGAAATTGTCTGAAAGCCATGACTGGTTTCTCCCGCTTGTTTGAATGGGTCTGAATTCTGATGGCAGACATAAGATCTTCCAGCAGCCACTCTCTTGACGCAGCGTAGTAGTACCTTCTTAAGGCGCTTGACGTCGGCCACCGTGTTAAGTCTTGAGGCCCTGCGGGAAGATAAATGGACGCATAACGTTGTCATCACTAGTGATCACTTCAAATACCTTGGTAATCAACATTAGACTTATCCAACTCTCTTCGAATGCTCTGCTCTGTTTACACGCTTCTTTCTCGACGCCTCTCCACCAATAAAAAAATAGATGACAGTTGAATCGGGTGTGGACATGTAATTCAGGCCGCATATTCGCCAGACACCTCGCCACTGGATACTTTTTCTGATCAAAAACTTAAAAATATTTTCGATATTCAAAATATCATTGACACTCTTTTTTTTCTATTTATAGCTTCGGGACATAGGCGATAATGGCTCTCCCCAATTTCCCATCTTTTGTAGTTCTTTGTAAGGTCTGCCTTTTCAATATGTCTCCTACACCGTTCTATTTACTCAAGCTTGATATACTCGCTGTTTCCCCCTGTCCCCCTTGTCATAAGAGTGTCAAATTCTCCGAGCCCTCTTTCTTCATCATGTATCCTATTTTCTATCTTCTCTGATAATACTTATACAGATATTTTAGTTTCCATTTTCATTTAAACGTCCTCTTAAAAACATTTTCATTCTCAGCACCTGTCGAACGACATATCCGTTACTTTACGTCCTTTCCTCCTCTATGAAGAAATATTCTAGCATTCACTGTCACAGAGGAGGACTGGTATGACATAAGAGTTCAGTAATTGTTTCTAACTTAATTCTCCTGTTTCTTAATAGTTTGTTTAGTCTTTGGAAGGAAACATTTGCTATTCCAATGCGTTTTCGGAACTTTGGCGTACTCTGTTAAAACACTCATTCATTTTTTCAAAATACAGCGTGTCCATAAATTTTGTCTGCACTTTAAAAAATGATAACTTTATTTGTATTTGCAATAGAAATAATCTGTAAAAAATGCTATAAAGTTTAATGTACCTAGTTTTAAGTATAGCTAAAATAACTAATGTGATTTCAGGCATTACTGTAAATCAGTTGGCAATTTTTTTTTCCGTGAACTGCAAAATCGTATTACCCTTTGTATTGCTAATGATGGGGGACATGCAGAAACTTAAATAAAATTTCCATAAAACCTTTAAAAAATAAATTTACTTCTTTCTAATCCTTTTTACAACTTATTTCTATCGCAAATACAAATAAAGTTATAATTTTTTTAAAGTGCACACGAACTTTATGGATACCCTGTATAATTCAAAAAAGTTCTCACAGTTTGCAATTAAAAGAAACTGTCTATATTTCTGAGATGAGGTATTATTTACACTATTTATATTATTTGGAATATTGTCCTTATCTTTGTCGCAAGGACACATGACACAGTGGATAAAGCGTTGGTTAGATCCAGTGACAGGACCCAAAGAGTGTAAGTTCAATACCCGGTTAAGGCAGTCGAAAACTTGGAGAAGGGAATTAACAGGAGATAACTGATATCCATTAAACATTGCACGTGGAACTAGAACAGTCTACCCCAGTGAGCGAAATAAAAGGTTCAGTTCGATATTCCAATTACCTGAAGAAGGCCGGAGTGTACAACGGCCCAAATGTTGTAATAAATATGGCGACAAAGATGAGGACAATAGTCTGAATAATGTAAATAGTGTAAAAGAAACTATTTTGATAATTAATTAATACACAAACATTTATTGATATTTGGGAATATTAAAGTTACTTTTAAGTCATTAGATTTTTATTTTTTTTATTGTGAAGCGGTGAGAGGTATTTAGACATAGGTAGGCAAATACATTCATGGTATAATGGAAAAAATTAATTTTTTTTACACTACAATACAATCTATACCATGACGATGTCTGTAATTTCAGTGGCAAATATATTAATCATCTTTATTTTATTGAAAGCTTCGTATTAATTCTGAACGTAGGTGATCATGCTTCTACATTGAATCCTTTTTACTCCAGTTAGTGCCATACGTGATACACGCGTGAGAAATCATGTCTCTTTCGTTTCTTGACTGACAAGGCAGTTGGTTTCCGGTTCTTTCAGCGATAGACCGGTTGCCAACCAACGCCATAGGACCCAGTTTGTCCTATACGACCCAATTTGTTTTGCTATTTAACC